GAGGTTTGCACTAGAAAGAAGAGGAATGGAGGTCAGTCGTAGCAAGACAGTACATGTGTGTAAACGAAAGGGAGAACAGTGAAATAGTGAGGTTACTTGGAGCAGAGGTGGTGAAGGTGCAGGAGTTTAAGTACTTAGGATCAACTGTTCAGAGCAGCAGAGACTGGAAGAGAGGTTAAGAATAGAGTGCAGGCAGGATGGAACAGCTGGAGAAAATTGTCAGGAGTGATCTGTGATAGAAGAGTGTCAGCTAAGGTGAAGGGAAAGGTTTAAAGGACGGATGTGAGACCAGCCATGATATATGATTTAGAGACACTAGCAATAGGCAGAAGACAGGAGGCGGAGCTGGAGGTGAAGTTAAAGATGCTAAGTTTCTCTTTAGGAGTGACAAGGATGGACAGGATCAGGAAGAATCAGGTTGTGCGAAAAAGCTAGAGAAGCCAGATTGAGATGGTTTGGACATATGTGGAGGAGGGGCAGTGGATACATTGGTAGAAGAATGCTAGAGATGGAGCTACCAGGTAGGAGAAAAAGAGGAAGGCCAAAGAGGAGATTTATGGATGCAGTGAGGGAGAACATGCAGATAGCTGGAGTCAGAGTAGAAGATGCAGAGAACAGGGTAAAATGGAAAACAATGATTCGCTGTGGCAACTCCTGAAAAAGGGACAAGCCGAAGGAAGAAGAATAAGACAGAGTTAGTAATATACAGTATATTTTTACCTTAACATTTACCATGCAGACTATTGTCTTACTCTGAACTTCTTTCCCAGGGTCCCTCTGGAGCGAGACAACTCTGAGGAGTTCCTCAAGAGGGAGGCGCGCGCTGCCCAGCTTGCAGAGGAGATTGAGGCCAGTGCTGCGTACAAGGCACGTGCTGCCCTGGAGAATGACGAGAGGTCAGAGGAGGATAAATATACTGCTGTGGTTCGAGGGGAAAGGGAGACTCACACACTGAGTAGCAGGTGAGACCTGGGGCCTGATGTAACAAAGATGCGCAAGCACAAAAATTTTGCTTACGCCCTTTTCTACGCTTACGTCCAGACGTCTCAAAATTGAAATGATTGTAGAAATGTGCGGTCCTCACGACAGCTCCAGAGCTGCCCTATGCATGGTTCTACAGCTGTCAGCCTTTGGCGACCCTTAGTGCTGATGCTGGGAAACTCCTAATAATGTAAAAAAAAAAACAAGTAGTCATCAGAGTGAAGTGCACATCAGAGACACACTTATGAACGATTAACTCACAAACGTGTTTGCAGTTATATGGGTGGACGTGAATGAATGCCACAAGTGTTGAAGAAATGTTATTAACAGTTGCAGCGGTAGTGTTATTAGAACATTTCGCAATAAGACGGGAGCGTGTATTTAGGGAACGCAAGGATTTACTGGAGGATGGTGGTTATTGGCTGGTGAAGTGGTTTCGTTTACCAAGGCCAGTGTAACTGGACCTGTGCGCAGAGCTGCGGCCGGCCCTAGAGCGCTACACGGCATGGTTTGTCGGTGCCCACACCGGTGCTGACCATGCTGTGGTGCCTGGCAACAGTTGAGCTGATTGTTCCTGAGTGTCTCAGTCAACGCTGAGCCAAGCCATGCCAACTGTGTGGGATGGAATCATCCGAATGTCGATGTCCAACAAAGTCCCATACAATGCTGTTGAACAGTCAACATGGAAGTGCAGTTTCCCTAAAGTAATGGGAGTTATTGACTGAACACACACAACCATCGCAAGACCAATTTGTTTTCTGTTCATCGGAATGTTATGTGATGCACAAATGCAGCTCATAACATTGTGGCTTGGTGTTCAACACATAATTCATTCATAGTGACAGGATGACCGGGGCAGACACTGTGCACTTCACGTCCACCTTCATCTTGGACCATTTCTGTTTTGCCTTTATGTGTATGCAGTGCCCCAACCAAAAGTGTTTACGGCCTCACACGCACACAAGCGTTTTTCTTTTCATATTTACACCGTTGGACAAGTGACCAAATAACACACCTCGCAGGACCTATAGTTCGGTTTTAGTATAATGATTTTTTCATGTCCTTATGGTGAATTCGCCTGCAGATCGTTCATTTAAATATATTTGCATATGTATGTAAGGGTGTGGTATGGAAATCCCACATGTGCGCTCAATTCCACGTAGATTGGGATGTACAAACGAAACGTACTTGGCTTCCTGCCTACGCACACTTGCATGATGCGTGATGATGATGCGTCAGAACACTATAGTGTACTATAGTGTACTATATATTATAATTATGTGTATCTTCATTGCACAAGTTTGATTCAGTTATGCGTATAAATGATACAATTTCTACATCACACAATTATCAACTGTTTCTCTCCTAACTTCTCTACATTCCATTGTCATGTGTTAATGAAATGAACTTCAATTGATGTTGCTGATTGGCATGAGCAGCAAAGGCTTTAAGTTCTCACGATGAAAGCAGCTGTCTCAGAACAAATACTCACTCCTTCTGATAGATGAGTTAATTTATAGCCTCTGCCTTGATATAGTTGCCTTCAACCTCTGCCTTTGTTGTTCTGTTCATCTATGCATTTGCAGAGAATACTTTTCTCCAGGTCAGAGAAACAGGGAGGGAATGTCATGGGGGCCTGGACGTCAGAATTTTCCTCGTCTGTCTCAAAGCTCAGTTGGACCTTGGACTCCTCGACCCGGTCCTCATGACTACAGCTCCAATTCTGGGGCCGACCAGAGGGTTGTCAATGGAGGTATGTTCAAGTACATCATACATACAGTTGATGTGTTACATTTCTTTAACTTGTGTTGATGTGTAGGAAAGTATGTATCATAATGTAAAATAGGAGGTGACTTATCTATAAGTGTTGTTTCATATTTTAAGGATATTTGTTAGTATAATCTTTCCATTTGTTTGTAATTACCTGTCAGTAAATCTGAAGTCAAATCTGCAGAGAATGGAAATGGCTGTGGTAAACACATATTTCCAAAAGAAAGAGGAACATAGGGTGACTTACAAGAGTGGATGCAGGTCCACACAGATTCCCAGATGATTGGGAGACTACAGCTGCAGTGATTAGGGAGACGGGTAGGAAGGTGCTAGGTATGTCCTCTGGGCAGAGAAAGGAGGACAAAGAGACCTGGTGGTGGAATGATGAGATCCAGGAGAGTGTGCAGAGAAAGAGATTAGCGAAGAAGAGATGGGACAGTGACAGAACAGAAGAGAACAGACTGGAGTACAAAGAGAGGACAAGGGAGGTGAAGAGGGAAGTGGCCAAGGCCAAACAAAAGGCATATGAGGAGTTGTATGAGAGTTTGGAAACAAAGGAAGGAGAAAAGGAGTTGTATAGATTGGCGAGACAGAGAAATCAAGCTGGGAAGGATGTGCAGCAGGTGAGGTTGATTAAGGACAGAGAGGGGAATGTGATCACAAGTGAGGAAAGTGTGCTGAGAAGATGGAAGGAATACTTTGAGGAGTTGTTAAATGAGGAAAATGAAAGGGAAAGTAGAAACGAGGAGCCAGAGACTAGTAGGAAGAAGGTAGATCAGGTTAGAAAGGATGAAGTTAGAAAAGCCCTGAAGAGGATGAAGAGTGGAAAGTCAGTTGGTCCTGATGACATACCAGTGGAAGTATGGAAGTGTTTAGGAGAAGTGGCAGTAAATTTCCTGACTGGTTTGTTTAACAGAATTTTAGAGACTGGCAAGATGCCTGATGAGTGGAGAAAAAGTGTTCTGGTGCCAATTCATAAGAAGGGTGATGCACAGAGTTGTAACAACTACAGAGGGATAAAGTTGATGAGCCATACAATGAAGATTTGGGAACGAGTAGTTGAAGCTAGGTTGAGGCAGGAAGTGGAGATTTGTGAACAACAGTATGGTTTCATGCCTAGGAAGAGTACCACAGATGCAATATTTGCCTTGAGGATGTTGATGGAGAAGTACAGGGAAGGTCAGAAGGAGCTGCATTGTGTATTTGTAGATCTAGAAAAGGCATATGACAAAGTGCCAAGGGAGGAATTGTGGTTTTGTATGAGGAAGTCAGGAGTGGCAGAGAAGTATGTTAGTTTGGTGCAGGACATGTATGAGAATAGTACAACAGTAGTGAGGTGCGCTGTTGGGAGGACAGAAGACTTCAAAGTGGAGGTGGGACTACATCAAGGATCGGCCCTGAGCCCCTTCTTGTTTGCTGTGGTGATGGACAGATTGACAGATGAGGTCAGACAGGAGTCCCCATGGACTATGATGTTTGCAGATGACATTGTGATCTGTAGTGAGAGTAGGCAGCAGCTAGAAGAGAACCTAGAGAGGTGGAGGTTTGCACTAGAAAGAAGAGGAATGAAGGTCAGTCGCAGCAAGACAGAGTACATGTGTGTAAACGAAAGGCAGAACAGTGAAATAGTGAGGCTACAAGGAGCAGAGGTGGTGAAGGTGCAGGAGTTTAGGTACTTAGGATCAACTGTTCAGAGCAGCGGAGACTGTGGAAGAGAGGTGAAGAATAGAGTACAGGCAGGATGGAACAGCTGGAGAAAAGTGTCAGGAGTGATCGGTGGCAGAAGAGTGTCAGCTAAGGTGAAGGGAAAGGTTTACAGGACAGTGGTGAGACCAGCCATGATGTATGGTTTAGAGACAGTAGCAATAGGCAGAAGACAGGAGGAGGAGCTGGAGGTGGCAGAGTTAAAGATGCTAAGATTCTCTTTAGGAGTGACAAGAATGGACAGGGTCAGGAATGAGGTCATTAGAGGGACAACACAGACAGGAAGGTTTGGAGAAAAAGCTAGAGAAGCCAGATTGAGATGGTTTGGACATGTGCAGAGGAGGGACAGTGGATACATTGGTAGAAGAATGTTAGAGATGGAGCTACCAGGTAGGAGAAAGAGAGGAAGACCAAAGAGGAGATATATGGATGCAGTGATGGAGGACATGCAGATACTTGGAGCCAGAGTAGAAGATACAGAGAACAGGGAGAGATGGAAATCAATGATTTGCTGTGGCAACCCCTGGAAAAAAAGGGACAAAGCCGAAAGAAAAAGAAGAAGACAGTAGTCTGTATGTCAGTATCCTTGACATATTCCAGAAAGGGATGCCAATTGGTTGGGAGCTTTGAACCACTTGAAACACCAGGTGAAGGATGACCAACTAAATATACTTCAGTAGAGGACCTTGTAGATGGTGTGGCAACTTGTCTTTGTTTTTCACCTGGTTCCTCAGCAGTAATGACTGTGACTTTGCCACTATGGAAAACTCTTCCAGATGCCATTATTCTGTCAGTATCATAAGAGCCAGTATGTTATGACAACACAAAATAAACAGGAAACATCAATGGTTGTTTTAAATTTTTGACTGTGTGAAATAAACTTTTGCTAATGTTAACAAATAATACAAAATTCCACACAATATGATTGGTCAAAATGCCATGACTTGTACTCGTCCTAATATAAATGTTAGGAAACTGACGAAGCCCTGATTGGCCAAAACAGAGGCTCATCTCAACAACATTTGTGCCAGACCTTGCTTTCCCTGAGTGTCCTATTGTTGATAATGAATGTTAATTCAAAATAGCTTCAGTCCATTACTGCACTTAATCTTTGTTGAATCAGTAAAGTTTTATGAGGTTCTATGGTGTATAGTTTGACCTGGTTGTCAGGTTTATTCTAACATATATGACGACAAAGTAACAACACAAAAGACGTCTTGATTTTTTTACTTGCTAGGGGAGAGTGCAGCTTACTCTTCTGGCAGCTTCCTCATCAACTCCGAGTAGCCACACCCTTCCTCTGCACTTTTATTGAGTTTATAAAAGTATCAGATTACATATCATGTGATCGTGTGTGAGTATATGAATGGGTATGGAGTAAGAAGGTGGGTGTGTATGGGGGTGTGACTGTGTCTGGTAATTTCTTCTCAGTCTTGAGCACACTAGATTATAATATGAGAAGCAAACAGTTTCTTAAAGCGACAGTACAGCATGAAGCAATGATAATAAATTAAATTCTTCCAACACTGTCCCTCCAAAATTCTACACATTTTTGCTTCAAAGACAACGATAATTGTCAGGATTGCTAATGTATTGGGTATCACCTTAAAGGAAATTTTATCAGCTTTCATGTGGTACTCATAATGCTATATGGTTGATTCTAGTGAAGTTATGAGGCAAAATAGAACCCCCCCCATCCAAAATTCCCAGCTTTTTTTACATCAAAATAATTTTTATATCTGGTCTTTCCAGCTTGGAGAATGGGAATCACAGCAATTGGCTTTAAAATAATAATAAAATACACACACACACACACAGACACACAGACAGTGGGTATTGAAAGATTCTTGCTGTGTGAGGTGTCTTCAGGCAAGGAGTGGAAGCAGCCGGTAGAAGGTCGATTTGTTTTATTGACAAACGTCAAGCAAAACAGGTCCAATGATAAAGCAAAATAACAACCGGGGAAATATTCAAGGAACATACAACAAAGTTATACAGTACTTTAAAATATTTCTCTTTCTGTCATCAGTGGTTTACGCTTTTTATACGTATTTTTGGGGAGTGGTTTCGGCTTCCCGGGCGTGTGTTTAAATCTTGTAGGCCAATGGAAGAGAGAGGCTAGGCCTCTTGTGGCCAATCATATTATTGTTCTTGTTATCATGTGATGCCTGCAGTCGCCACTATGTGGCACTCTTGTTCCATGATTCAGCAGTGTTGGAAGAACCTTTTGTTGCTCAGTGGGGGGTTATCACAAGGGAAGTGGAC